TTCTATCATCCTCCTCATACTGCTCATCGTCTTCTTCCTCCCTCCTCATCCTCCTTCCTTTTCTTCCTCCGCCTGATCCTCCTCCTCCTCCTCCTCATCATCATCATCCTTATCCTCCCCCTCCCCATCCTCATCCTCGTCAACATCGGCGTGCTCATCAGCATATGCATCATCATCATCATCATCATCATCATCATCATCATCATCATCATCATCATCATCATCATCATCATCATCATCATCATCATCATCATCATCCGCCTCCGCCTCCGCATCCGCATCCGCATCCTCCTCCTCCTCCTCCTCCTCTTCATGCTCATCATCTTCCCGCCGCCCGCGCAGCGGTCAGGCGGAGGGACCTCCTTCACCGTACCCCATTTTGGCTCAAGCCCGCCCCCCCTGGGGGCTGGGGCCCCTCCTTCGCTGGGGGGGACGCGGTGCGGGGCGCCCTTCATGCGCCCGGAGGGCTTGAGCCGAGCCGATCGGGCCTGGGTCGCGGCGTTGGGCGCTGCCTCCGAGGGCGCGCGCGCCGTCCTGGCCCGCGAGGGGCTCGAGGATCCCAGCCGCCTGGCGACCTTAAGCGACCTGCGGCCCTACGAGCTGGCGCAGGCGCTGGGGGTCGAGATCGTGGAGGGGGCGGCTGCGATCGCCGACCAAGCCGAGGGGCGGCAGGTGGAGGAGATCTGGTGCCTCCTCCCCAAGGCTACGGCGGCGGCGGCGGCACGGCAACGGCATCTGGCGTTGCTGCTCGTCGATGCTCTGGAGGCGGAGCTGGCCAAGCGCCGCCGCCTCTCGGCCGCGCGCCTGGAGGACGAGGCGGTGAGCCGCGCGGCCGTCCCATTGCCCGCGCCGCCTGCCCAGGCGCGGTGGCCGACGCGCATGGCCAAAGCGCGGGCCGATGGGGGCTCCGCGGGCAACGCTGGCGGCGCTGGAGGAGGCCAAGCGCCGCCGGTTCCAAGCGAGGCTGGTGGACGAGGTCGTGTACCTCCAGCTCCCGGTGGTGGCGGAGCTCGAGAAGGTCGGGGACCCGCTGAAGCACCTGGGGTACATGGCGGCGGGCCGCCGGGCGTCCACGGTGCAGAGCGTCCTGGGCGACTGGCGGCGCATGCGGCTGTGGCGGGAGACCTCCACCAGCGGCTCCTGGCCCAGGGGCCCCGAGGACGCGGTGGCCTGGAGGCACGCGCGGCGGAGCCCTGCGGCAAGACCCTGCTGAAGGGGGCGCTCGACTCGCTGCGCTTCCTTGCGGAGCTCGGGCGCGTCCCGGCAGAGGTGCGCCTCGGCCATCATCCGGTGATCGTGGGCGCGGAGCGGAGCAGCAGTTGGCGGCTTCCTTGGGCGGGGAGCCCGCTGCTTCCGTGGTCTCGAAGGCCCCTCAGGTGCTGGTGGCGCTGGTGATCGCCTGGGAGAGGTACCTCGCGGACCCGCTGAACCCCAGGTACGCTCGGTACTACGCGGGGGTGAGGTACATCAAGTACTGGGCCTCGCTGCGCTTCGACGACGCGAAGTGGGTCGACACCGTGGACAGGATCGCGAGGGGGCTCTGATTGAGCCTGGCCCGGACCAAGACATCGGGGCCGGGGCGGAAGATCACGCGGCTCCACGCTTACGTGAGCTTGGGGGCCTACTACGAGGTGACGGATGGAGGTCTGGTGGTGCGTGCGCGAGCAGTTGATGCCGATGAGCTGCTTCCTGCCGCTGCCGAGCTCGGACATGGAGATGGTCGTGGATCGCTCGGCGGGTTGGAACGAGGCCTCGAGCAGCTCGCAGGCCCTGGCGCGCATCCTCCCGGGCCAGAGGGAGGACGACGCTGACCTGCTGGGGGGCCGCCTGCTGGGCGACGTGGCTGGTCGCTTCTGGACGGAGCACAGTGAGAGGTGCTGCATGGCGAGCGCGGCGGCGGCTCTTGGCAGGGACCGCTCGACCATCGACAGGCTCGGGCGCTGGTCATCGTCCATGTCGGAGGGGTACGTGAGGACGCAGAGGATCGTCGTGGAGCGCTTGCAGTCGGAGCTGGCCTGCTACGCGCGCGGGGGCCGCGGGGGCCCGGACTTCCTCGACGAGAACGACACGCTGGACCAGCTGGGGGCCTACCTGCGGAAGCGGGGCTGCGGGGCCGCAGAGGTCGAGCAGATCGGGAGCAACCTGAAGTACTTCGGGGGCTACCCTGGAGCGCCGAGGCCCGAGGGGCTGACCGGCGGTCCAGTGGCCGGGCGCATCGGGGGCCTCGAGCTGGAGCAGCCCTCCCCCGAGCCCGGCGGCCCGCCGCTGGCGGCGCTCAAGGACCTGGTCGACGACGACGAGCTCGAGGAGGAGGTGGAGGCGCTGACGCCCATCGCGACCTCCAGCGAGGAGGACGTTCCGCCCGCAGGCTACGTCATCTCGATATCGGAGAAGGGGCGGCAGCGGCTGCACCATCGGGATCGCTGCCACAGGATCCCGGGCCTGGACTGCAAGAACTAGCGCGACCTCGGGATGTTCGCGCCGGCACCGACCGAGTACGACATCGTCTGCCGGGTCTGCTGGCCGGAGGGCCTGGCCGCGCCGGGGCAGCCACCCAGCGCCTCGGGCGAGAGCAGCGACGCCGGGGGGGGGAGGAGCTGGCCGCTCCCGCCCTGGCGGCGGAGGAGGCGTCGGGGGTCGTAGAGGGCGCGGCGTTGCCTCCCGACCTCGGCGGGCCTCAGGAGGGCCGGGCGACGCCACCAGGGGGCCCAGGAGCCAGGTGGAGGCGTCGGCCCGGTCAGCGCGCCGCCGGAAGGGGCCCAGGGGCCCGGGCGCCGGGAGTTCCTGTGAGCGTCGACGGCGGCGCGCGCGCCGCCGGAGGGAGCCCTGGAGGCCTCTGCCTCGTTATCGGCCTGCGCACTCGGATCTCGGCGCAGGTCCAACTCGAGAGCAGAGGGCTTCCGCGGGAGCTCACATGTGCAGTCGGCGGCGGCGCAGCGCACGCTGGGAGCCCGTGCATACGGTGGCCAGCTTCGGCGCCACCCTTGCCGGGGGGGGCGCGCGCGCGTCTCCTGGCAGACCCTCGGACTCGGAATATTGTTGCCGCAGTCGGCCGAGGGAGGGGGAGCGGTCTCTGAAAAAAGAAGGGGCAGGGAGCGAGGATCGTCGAGGCTGGCGCATCGCACAGCTGGCGCTCGAGCGGCGTCGCCGTCGCGCCCCTTTTTTTCCCTGGCTGGTCTGACGGGGCCTGCCTGGTCCGCCCTGCAGACCACAGGGTCAATTTCGGGCACGAGCGGGCCGTTGCGGCAGCTGCGAGGGGCGGCGCGCCCGGGGCCGGGCGGCGGGAGTCCAGCGGGCGCCCAGCGCGGGACCCGGTGTGCGTCGCATGAACACGCAGCCGGATTTGGCCCAAAATCCCTCGAGGGACTTTAGGCCAAATCTGGCTTCCTCGGGCTCACCTCCCCTCCCCCCTTCTCTAACTTGGATCGCTCCTCCTCCTCCTCCTCCTCCTCCTCCTTCTCCTCCTCCTCCTCCTCCTCCTCTTGCTCCTCCCTCTCCTCCTCCTCCTCCCCTCCTCCTCCTCCTTCTCCTCCTCCTCCTCCTCCTCTCCTCCTCCTCCTCCTCCTCCTCCTCTCCTCCTCCTCGTCTGCTCTCCCTCCCCTCCTCCTCCTCCCCTCCCTCCTCCTCCTCTCCTCCTCCTCCTCCTCCTCCTCCTCTTCCCCCTCCTCCTCCTTCCTCCTCCCTCCTCTCCTCCTCCTCTTCCTCCTCCCTCCTCCTCCTCCTCCTCCTCCTCCTCCTCCTCCTCCCTTCTCCTCCTCCTCCCTCCTCCTCCTCCTCCTCCTCCTCCTCCTCCTCCTCCTCCGCCTCCTCCTCCTCCTCCTCCTCCTCCTCCTCCTCCTCCTCCTCCTCCCTCCTCGGCCTGGCGGCCGTCGGGCGTGGCGGCGCGTCTCTTGCAAGGGCCCGGCCGCGCAGCTCGGCGGCGCGCCCTTCCCTTGCCCTCGGAGGTTGCCAGACGTGACCCTGGCCTTAAGTCGGGCATATCCTTCTACAGGAGGAGTACGCCAGAATGGTAGGAAAATGCGATGGTGACTCTTTCGACCCGACGTGTTCGACCCCGAGATCCTAGCGAGCGAGTGACTTGGCAACGCTCTGACGTACGAATTTTTCCCGGCGAAGACTATCGAGGAGCATCCTCGATCATCTGGCAAAAAAAAAAAAAAAAAAAAAAAAAAAAAAAAAAAAAAAAAAAAAAAAAAAAAAAAAAAAAAAAAAAAAAAAAAAAAAAAAAAAAAAAAAAAACAAAAAAAAAAAAAAAAAAAACGCACGAAAACGAAATCTGCAACAGGGAATGGACGTCGGAGCGATGGCAAAAGCGAGCGAGTACCTTGCGCCAGACGGCTAAAGTGAGAGAGCTGGCCACGATTTGTCGTGTTCCTGTGGCTACTCCCTGCACTTAGGGGTTCTAACTTGGCTTAACCATCTCGGGCGGTGCCTCCCGTCACCGTCCGTCACCGCCGCTCGTCTCGGGACCAGGGGCGGCCGTCGCAGTCCGTGCCGCCCGTCGTCGCCGTCGCCGTTGGTGTCGCCGCACCGTCGCCACCGCCATCGCCGTCGTCGGGGCCGCGCACCACATAGCTTGCACCACATAGATAGAGTAGTGGTAGTAGTAGTAGTAGTAGTAGTAGTAGTAGTAGTAGTAGTAGTAGTAGTAGTAGTAGTAGTAGTAGTAGTAGTAGTAGTAGTAGTAGTAGTAGTAGTAGTCGTAGTCGTAGTCGTAGTCGTAGTCGTAGTCGTAGTCGTATTCGTAGTCGTAGTCGTAGTCGTAGTCGTAGTCGTAGTCGTAGTCGTAGTCGTAGTCGTAGTCGTAGTAGTCGTAGTCGTAGTCGTAGTCGTAGTCGTAGTCGTAGTCGTAGTCGTAGTCGTAGTCGTAGTCGTAGTAGTCGTAGTAGTCGTAGTAGTATTAAATATACAGTAGAGTAGAAAGTAGTAGTATTAGTAGTATATTAGTAGATAGTAGTGGTGGTGGTAGTAAGTGGTAAGTGGTAGTAGTAGTAGTAGTAGTTGTAGTAGTAGTAGTAGTAGTAGTTGTTGTAGTTGTAGTTGTAGTAGTGGTAGTAGTGGTAGTAGTAGTAGTAGTAGTAGTAAGTAGTAGTATTAGTAGAAGTAGTATAAGTAGTAGTAGTAGTAGTAGTAGTAGTAGTAGTAGTAGTAGTAGTAGTAGTAGTAGTAGTAGTAGTAGTATTAGTAGTAGTAGAAGTAGTAGTCGTAGTAGTAGTAGTAGTAGTAGTAGTAGTAGTAGTAGTAGTAGTAGTAGTAGTAGTAGTAGTAGTAGTAGTAAATAAGTAAGTAGTAAGTAGTAAGTAGTAAGTAGTAAGTAGTAAGTAGTAAGTAGTAAGTAGTAGGTAGTAGGTAGTAGGTAGTAAGTAGTAAGTAGTAAGTAGTAAGTAGTAAGTAGTAAGTAGTAAGTAGTAAGTAGTAGTAGTAGTAGTAGTAGTAGTAGTAGTAGTAGTAGTAGTAGTAGTAGTAGTAGTGGTAGTAGTAGTAGTAGTAGTAGTAGTAGTAGTATAGTAATAGTAGTAGTAGTAGTAGTAGTAGTAGTAGTAGTAGTAGTAGTAGGAGTAGTGATCGGAGTAGTAATAGGAGTAGTAGTTGGAATAAGAATAGTGATCGTTATAGTACTCGTAGTCTTCGTCTGAATAGTAGTCGTCGTACGAGTAAAAATATCAGTATTAGTTCCCCAATCAGAGCTTCTGTAGGGGTCCTAGCGGATTCATATGGTTGCGTTAGGTTTGCCGCCGATTTTCGCGGCACGCCGGGCGCCCGGGTGCCCGGGGGGGGCCCGGGGGCCCGGGGGGGGCCCGGGGGCCCGGGTGCCCGGGCGTGCCCGGGGGTGCCCGGGTACCCGCCCGGTAGCCCTATAGCCTTATAACCCTAGAGCCTTGTAGCCTTATAGCCCTATAGCCCCAGAGCCCTATAGCCCTCCAGCCCTATAGCCCCAATAGCTTTATAACCTTATAACCCTCATAGCTCCATATACCCTTATAACCCTATAGCTCTCTAACCCTCTAGCCTTATAACCCTATAGCCCTATAGCCCTATGGCCCTATAGCCCCATAGGCCTATATTATTAAACATATTATAAAATGTCCCAACCATCCTGTGGTGTTGGGTCCTCGTTTTGAAGAGACAGCGCCCCGCGTCCCACCTCCTCTCCTCCTCCTCCCCCTCCTCGCCCTCCTCCCTCCTCCCCCTCCTTGCCTCTGCTCTCGGCACACCCCTCACACGTTTCATGGCCCCATGGGGAGCTCCACCGAATGTCCCAGTGGCACAGCCCGCATGCGGTTCCTCCATCCAGGGCAGCGCTTCGTAGCCCCATTGGGAGCTCCACCGCGGTTCCCCCACCCAGGGCAGCGCTTCGTAGCCCCATAGGGAGCTCCACCGAAGGTCCCAGTGGCACAGCCCGCATGCGGTTCCCCCACCCAGGGCAACGTTTCGTAGCCCCATAAGGAACTCCACCAAAGGTCCCTGTGGCACAGCCCGCATGCGGTTCCCCCACCCAGGGCAGCGTTTCGTAGCCCCATAGGGAACTCCACCAAAGGTCCCAGTGGCACAGCCCGCATGCGGTTCCCCCACCCAGGGCAGCGTTTTCGTGGCCCCATAGGGAGCTCCACCGAAGGTCCCAGTGGCACAGCCCGCATGCGGGTTCCCCACCCAGGGCAGCGCTTTTCGTAACCCCATTGGGAGCTCCACCCCAGGTCCCAGTGGCACAGCCCGCATGCGGTTCCCCCACCCAGGGCAGCGTTTCGTGGCCCCATAGAGAGCTCCACCGAAGGTCACAGTGGCACAGCCCGCATGCGGATCCCCCACCCAGGGCAGCGTTTCGTAGCACCATAGGGAGCTCCACCGAAGGTGCCAGTGGCACAGCCCGCATGCGGTTCCCCCACCCAGGGCAGCGTTTCGTGGCCCCATAGGGAGCTCCACCGAAGGTCCCAGCGGCACAGCCCGCATGCGGTTCCCCCACCCAGGGCAGCGTTTCGTGGCCCCAGAGGGGGCCACCGAAGGTCCCAGTGGCACAGCCCGCATGCGGTTCCCCCACCCAGGGCAGCGTTTCGTGGCCCCATAGGGACCACCTAAGGCCCCAGTCGCGCATTTCGCATGCGCCCCCCCTCCCCCCCCCACCCAGGGCAGCGCTTCGTGGCCCCATAGGTAGTTCCCCCGAAGGTCCGAGTGGCGCAGTTCGCATGCGTCCGGTACTGCGCTTCGTGGCCCCATAGGGAGCTCCACCGACGGTCCCAGTGGCGCAGTTCGCATGCGTCCTCCCCACACCCAGTACAGCGTTTCGTGGCCCCATAGAGAGCTCCACCGAAGGTCCCAGTGGCGCAGTTCGCATGCGTCCCCCCCCCACCCAGTACAGCGTTTCGTGGCCCCATAAGGGGGCTCCCCCGAATGCGATATCCACAACTGCATATGGTTGGGTCTTTCGCCAGGCTAATTTTCTTCTGGTATCATAGTATGAGTAG